AACCAGACACCAAACCTGCCAGTGCCTTAATCTTGGAATTGTCAGCCTCCAGATCTGTGACATATACATTTCTGTTGTTTATAAGTTATCCAGTTTATGGTATTTTGGTACAGCAACCCAAATGGACAAAGACAATCGTATACAACAAGATGAGGTTCAGTATATTTAGGTCAACTCTATTAGAACGCTATATTCAAATATCACTGTTCACTGGAAACTGCCATTCTGAGTTTAAGTAAATGTCCCATCCATTAAGAGGGGAAAGAACACTGAAGGCAAATGTATATGCTCGATGATTTTGGAGACTAAAGTGAGTACTTAGCCCTTTTCTACAAAATCCTTCAAAATGTAAATTATTTATGTCTGGTATTACAATTAAACTTGCTTCACAGGGAGTATTTGAGAAATAAGACATCAAGAGTATAGTAGGGATGGGGACAAACAATCTCCTTATTAACTCTTATATTTAAATCCATTAATATATTAACTCTATGGTGAACAGTAAGAGTCAGGAAATGGAAGCTTTCACATATGCTGAATTAACTACTGCTATTTAAACTCTGACACAAATGTTTATCATATATACTACTCTAGTTATCAACATGGCTACCAATCTTTTCAGCTAACTGCTACAACAGCCTCAAATCACAGCAAAGAGCAAAAAATAAAAATAAAAATAAATAATAAATAAAAATAAAACATTAAACTGTCAGTGGCTAACTAGTGAAATCAGACTAGGTGATACTAGGCATTGATACAGCCCAATTCAAATTAGTAAACTGCAGAAAGCAAATAATAAACTTCAATATCCTCTCCTGATAGGAGAGGATAAAAACCTTTATTGAAGCCTTCTTGTGTTTTGGGGCACAAAACCTATTTGGTGCTTTACCTCTTAATCGCATTTAGTCGGATCCCCATAAGAACGTGTATGAAGTAGCATTGTATCCTTTCTGCAAGGAAGGAAAACAAAGATCTTTCCTTCCTTGTAAAAATTAAGATAACTAAAGCAAGTCACCTGAGTAAGAAACAGCAGGATCAAGGTTTTAAATGAATTCAGTGCAACTCAAATATGGTGTTTGCCTCCATCTCTACTTAAAATGCTTTCAGCCTGGGGAGGGGAAAAAAAAGCCTGGAGAGGTGAATTTGATCCTATATCATTCATGTAAGCCACCACAGGATAATTAAATTTAAAAGAATATTGTTACCGCAGCAGCCAAAGGACTCTAAGAGAAGTCACAAAATTATAAAACTAGTAAAATATAAACTAAGAAACTGAAAAAGTAAACAGTCACAATTAACTTTCAGGAAATCAACTTTCAATGAGGAAATTTCATCATTTCCCTACAACCTTCTGAAATCTATTTATAGTACATTACTATTTTACTGACAATTGCGTAATCTATAATAGTTTACAGCCCAATTCTTCAGAGTAGAAAATGTAAAAAATAGACCAAATACACACATAATATATACAGATCTACATCAAAAATGCTGACACTAGGGCATAGCACAGAAGTTATTTTTGAAATAAAATTCTAGTACTTTAAAACATCAGCCTACATAACAAATGACAGATAATCTATCTGACCTCATTGTTTTACAATGGAATAAAAAGACACCCAAAAAGCTTCTGTCCAAAAAGTAGAGAAGCAGAATTTGGTGCAGGGAAAGTAAGAAGCAGAGGAAATATGCTTAACTGAGGTTTCTAGATCATTAATAACTATATGCTCAAACTAAATATGACTTAAAAATAGCTTTGTGGCATGCACTATACAGAAGTGATATAAAAGCTACTTCTAGAAGAGACATATACATACAATATGCTAGACCCTCACTACAGCTGTACTCCTCAAATCTATTTGTACAGTCAACACAAGAGTTTTATAGCAAATACAAACTTTACCTATGAAGGTAGATCACATTTGTCTCACTCAAAAATAACTAAAACAGAAACTCATTCTCTTTTGGGAAAATTCTATATCTAAGTCATCTGCTTCACTATAACTCATTTAAGGCAAATCATTGTCCTCACTTTCCACATGAATAAAATTTCTCCCTCATAAACACTAGAATCCTTCCCCTATTTTAAAGTTTATCTTACTTAAACCAGTGCCACAAATAAGAATTACCACTTTGTATAATATGGCAACTTCATCCTGTAGCATTCTAGATACAACTAATATTGTGAATTACTTAAGAAGAAATGTTCCCACTAAGGTCACATAAAGGACAAAAGTGTAAAATAAACCATAACATGAGCAGAAACTTGTAGAGGCATTACATCCTTATAGTTACATCAAGGACATAAAAGCTATGCCACAGAAATATACAAAGACAATGCTGCCATCTAAAGGCCAAGATATAATATGAAAAGATGTATGTATACTCAAATACTACCAAAACAACTTCATATTTTAGTCAGCAAAGTTTATAGTAAAACTATGCTATGATTATTTTTAGACTATGCAATTAAGCTCTAACACTTTTTGAGAAGATTCAGTTTATTAAGAGAATTAGCAAAATAATTTGGCTAATGCTCAGTATTTGTCAAAGCATAGGTGAGATTCTTATGGCATTCTTTCTGACACAGTGTTCTCTGTATATATCTGCAATAGTTGCTAATTTAAAATATTTGTTGTTACATTAAGAATACATGTCAAAATAAAAACATCCTAACTACTTAAAATTGTAGCTTTGCAAGTATTTAAATTTTTCTCCTTCTTTCATAAATTTTAAAAATATAAACTTCCTATGGGAGGCTAGTTATCAATATCTCAATTATCCAAAAAATAGCTCAAATGATTCTACATTTCTTTTTCTAAGAAACTTCAATGCGAAAAACTGTAATGAATTAGCCTTTAAGACTTAGCAAAACTACCTCAAATTTCCAATGAAATAAAAATGTTTAATCAAAAAAACTAAATACAAAATTGATTCCCTTAGCATTTAAGTATATAACATCTTTTCAATGTAACCAAAATATTAGAAAAAAACGAACGTGAACGGAACAAGAACCTTCAAAACAAAACAAGTTGCTTTCTTTGGGAAACCACTGGCTAAAAATTGTTTTATGTGCCAATAAAACTATTTCTCTATGCTTATTCAACAAGAAAAATACAAGTCTGCAAATATCCTATTTCTTGAGGAATAGAAAATTTCTAAATTGAGATCACCATCCCTTAATTTATCTTGGATGTAAAGTGAAACCCAAAAGTTAGATAACGAATACAGTTGTGATGCCATAAAAACTACTATATTTTACATGTCTCCTCTAAGTCATAGTTTGCACCAGACAATTTAAAGATACTATGTCATTTATTTCTCAAAACTATAACCAGCAAATAAACAGATATCAATAACCTCATATACAAATGAGGTATAAAGAACTCAAGTAACTTTCCCAGGGTCACAAAGCAAGTGAGGAAATATCAATATTCAAAAATTCAGTCTCTCTAACACAGAAGACCTAACTCTCTTTACCAAATCTTACTGTCTCAAGAATGACTATTACGTAATATTTATTAAATGCCATAAATTCCAAGGGTCAATAAAAAGATCTCTTTATTTTTGAAGTACAACTAAAAAAGCAAGTCTTCTTTGTTGTATACTATACTTTTAGGACTACCCTGACAACATTTTCAAATACAGACATGCATTGCTTAATGACAAGAAAATATTATGACAAATGTGTCATTAGGTAATTTTGTAGTTGTATGAACATCATAGAATGTACTTACACAAACCTAGACCAAACGGCCTACTAAAGCCCTGAGCTATATGGGTATAGTTTTTACTGCGCCTAAGCTGCAAAGCTGAACAGCATGTCACTGTATTGAATACTGTAGGCAACTGTAACACAATGGTATTTCTGTATCTAAACATAGAAAAGGCAAAAATACACTATAATAATCTTACAGGCCCACTATTGTATATGATATCCACTGTTAACCAAAACATTGTTATACAGCCCATGACTGTATGTATGCTATTTTTCAATTTTGAGAACTACTACTGGTGTCTCCTAGTGACAACTTTTTCTTTTAACTGATATGATGTATCTATCAAATAAAAACATAAATGCTTTGGAATATTATTCAGCCACAAAAATTAATAAAGCTCTGATACATGGTAAACACAAACGAACCTTGAAAACATCATGCCAAGTGAGACACCAGAAATAAAAGACCATGTGTCGTGTGATTCCATTTATACAAAATATCTAAAATAGGAAAACCCCATAGAGATAGAAAGTAGATTAGCAGTTGCCAGGGACTAGAAGAAGGGTAAAATGGGGAGTGGTAGCTAATGGGCACAGGGTTTTTTTAGGGGCAATGAAAATATTCAAAAATTAGACACTTGTAATAACTGCACAACATGGTAAATATACTAAAAACTGATGCGTTATATACTTTAAAGAGGGAAAATTTATTTTATGTGAATTACCTCACAATAAAAAAGATTAAAAGACATTTAAGTACTATACATTAAATGTATCTGAGTTACCCATGTATGTGCTTAAAATATAAAATCTACATAATTGCTCATATTATCTGCTCTAATTTATTGAATCCCATTTTTTATCATACTAAGTAAAAGGCTCTATTTTACAAGAGTACATTTTTCTGGACATTAAAAAATTCTAATTGTCTAGAATTATTATAATCCCTAGAGATACAGAAAGAACTTCAACCATAAACTTATGTTTGGCAAATAAATTTGATTTTTCCAATTTACCAGCATTAGTTCACTGTCCACATTCGAAAAGACACATTAGCATATGCTAATGAGGGATTTTTAACATGCAGGTAGCACATACAAACGCTATCTATTCAGTTAAAAGATCAAGTTATAAAATCATCACTTTAAAAGAATTTTTGCTTTTGACAAGTAGTATTTGAACCACCACAAGAAAACAAGCAGAAAAAAAAATTATAAATAATAGAAAGAATTTGAAGGTAAGCAACAAAATGAACAACATGAGGATGAAAACAAGTACTTACTAATTTGTTTTCCTGCATGTATATTCTCTGTAATTTCAGACAGCCCTTAGCTATGACGATCATGCCTTCATCTGAGATCTTGTAACATTGGCCAAAATGAATATCTTTGAGTTCTCTGCATTTTGAGCCCAGCTGTAAACAAAGAGATTAGCTGAATGCTCAAAACATAACAAAGGCAATATATTTCCAGTGAGATTTTCATATATTTTTTTGAAAATCATGTCAGAGTTAAATATTTGTTACTTTTAAAATAAGATAGAATGTAAGCAATCCATAACTTAAAACAGTACTATATAAACATTTTTACCTTCTTCCCTGCTTCAACTAACTCATATTACATGCCCACCAAGGTACACAGATTACTTAACAGTTCAAAATTATATATTTATTACTCCAGTATTTTTTTTTTTTGAGACAGGGTCTCACTGTGTCACCGAGGCTACAGTGCAGTGGCTCAATCACGGCTCACTGCAGCCTCAACCTTCTGGCTAAAGAAATCCTCTCACCTCAGCCTCCTGAGCAGCTGGAGTACAGGTGCATGCCACCACACCTGGCTACTTATTTAATTTTGTTGTAGAGCTAGGGTCTCGCTATGTTGCCCAGGCTAGTCTCAAACTCCTGGGCTCAAGCAATCCTCCCACCTCAGCCTCCCAAAGTGCTGGTATTACTGATGTGAGCCACTGAACCCAGCCTCTTTTTAGTCTTAATAATCAGGAAAAAAAAATTACACTTAAAGGAATAAATTATGGTGTATTCATAAAATTGAATATTATATAAACATTAAAATTGGAACAAACATTTGACAAAAATGTATATAACTTTTATAGCATAATCAAATTTTATAAAGAAATTATGCATATTTAAATGCATACATATGTATTTGTGTACAGAGAAGAGACTAAAATACATACCAAGGTGTTCACAGTGGTTAATCCTGACAAGTATATGAGTTTTTATTTCCTTCTGCCTATGAATCTTCTCTAATTTTTGCAATAAACATTACTTTTGTAATAATAATTTTTAAAAACTTCCGAGTTCTGTTTCAAGTGAAGTAATGACATCAGAAACATGTGGGAATTCAGTTACTTTTCCAGGGGTGGTGATAGATATAAACTATGTTATTCTAATCTAGGCTATACTACAACCGATTAAATATTCCTACAGAAATGTAAACTTCATGAAGACAGTGGTCTGTCTATTTTGTTAAATAGGGTATCTCTGGTGTCGAGTATCTTACAATTAGTTGACACTTAATAAATATTCGTTAAATGAAAAATTAGCTGGGCGTGGTGGCACGCACCTGTGGTACTAGCTACTCGGGAGGCTGAGGCAGGAGAATTGCTTGAACCCAGGAAGTGGAGGTTGCAGTGAGCCGAGATCGTGCCACTGCACTCCAGCCTGGCCCCTGGCAACAGAGCAAGACTCTCGTCTCAAATAAATAAATAAATATTTGTTAAATGAATGAAAAAGATGATCAGGATTATGCACTATAAAAAAGTTCATTTTAAATGGGCAAATACAAGAAACCACGATTGTGGCCTCATATACTACTAAGTTCCAGTTATTCCAAGGGTTCTAACTGGCCCAAGGAGATAATTCAGGGGTCCAGGAAAGCAGATTTCTAAAAAGGACATGTTCATTTTTTAAGATATCCTCTAAGTGAACTTCAGCCTTTCCTTATTACATGAAAAACACCACAGTAGTTTAGCAATACCTGAGACTTTGTAAGCAATAGAAATGAAAGATTATTTCATATATCACTGTTGCAGATACCTTGAAATATTTTCCTCCATTAGTATTCACCATGCTCATTAGATATCAGATTTTATTGAATTCATTAAAAGAGGCATATATATTTCTATAACAAATGTACAATGGCATGTCACTGGACCTGAGAAAGCTAAATCCAAAGACAACAGTGGGAAAAGCAAAGAAGTCTACTAAAGAACTCTCAACAGGCTCACATATGTCTGGCAGTGAGGCTGAGGCTGGGGCTAGAAATATTAGAATTCTTGAAAGTCTGCTTAAAAATTAGTTAAACCCCCAGATCACCTCCCTATTACTGCATAGGCAGACCTTCCCCTTTTTCCCACAATGGCTAAAAACTGTATTTCTCTGGGGAGAGCAAAACATAGAGTTTTTGGACTGGGGTATACCACACATAGCTGGGAACCAAAAAACACTGCTGAAAATATGGGGATTTGTGAAAGCGTATACAGTGAAAATGAGAAATTCAAACAAATAGTTCTATCCAATTTTCCAGGATGAAAGGATATCAACTTCCAGACTGAAAGGGCTCATCCACGTGTCCAGCACAAATGACAAAATAGACACATGGCAATGCAAATCATTATAAAGTTTCAGAAATATGAGTTTAAAGAGATTCTACAGACTTACAGAGATAAACTTCATGGAAAGGATTAGGATGAAAATGCATCAAACTTCTTAACAAAACTAAAAGAAAGCAAAAGTCCAATCCTATCAAATTCTGAAGAGAAATTATTTCTAACCTAGAATTCTGTACTCAGGAGTCAAACTATGAATTAAGTGTGAAAGTAGAATTAGAGACATTTTCAGATATAAAAGTTATCAAAAGATTTACCTCCCATATACTCTTTATCAGGAAGGTATTGCAATCTGTGCTCTATAAAAGAAGAGAATACACCAAGGGAAAGGAAACATGACATCTGGGTAATAGAAGATCTAGCCCAACAGCAAGAGGAAGAAAACCTTAAGAATAACAGTGGTAAGATACCAAGATGACCACTAATACAATCACACTTGTATAGGAGAAGTCCAGACTAGATTATTACAGGCAAATCTGCTTTAAAGCAGTAAATTTAATTAAGTGTTCACATATAGACATACTAATGCAACTGGATGAAAGCTTTGGTCTTTATTAGTGTTAAGAGTATAAAAACTAGGTAAAGGAAAAAAAAGACATCTATTAATTCCAATGAAAACAAAATGCTTTAGAGAAAAAAAAAGGTAGGTACATAATTGTAAAATGTAAATACTGAATACTTATTTAACAAAAATTATAAAAGAATTATGTTGGAAGGATGAGCGGATAAGACACAAGGGAAGGAAGTGTAAGTGAGCTAAATCCTTATCTTCGACAGAAAAGAATCAGCAATAAATAGTCAAAAGTGAATACATTTTTAAAAAAATACAAACAGATATGGTAAGGGAAGATGTTTTCTCATTTGGTAGGAAATCCAACTAGTCTAATTCCTAGTCTCTCCACTGATTATTCTTTATTTAATAAACTGGACATTTCCAGCTCATAAGTATATATACTTCTTCCCACTGTGAATAAACCATACACAGGGAGCAAGCTATCTTTACTTCTCTATTTGGGGCCACTCTGCTGGTCAGCATAGCCAATGACTAGTCAGTTAGCCAAACTCCAGAGTCAGGTCAACAAACCCATTTATCACTGTTGGTAAGTAACATTCTCTACCTTAGATTTCCTGAGTCCTAAAGTTGACATCTTGCTCCTCCATCACTACTTCTTTGTCATACTTATCAATCTGATAACATCCTGAGCAGTCAAGAGGAGGCTCTGTGAGACCTCAACAGTTAGTACGACAACTAGAAATGCTTAGAAATAAAAGAACAGAATCTATATATTAACAGAAGGAATAGGGTGGTTTTTGGTGAAGTCTTAAACATCAATGTGAATAGACAAGTTGTATAACCTCAGGTTAAGAGATGTAAATCACAGCGCTACAGACTGGGAAAAAAAATTTAAACTGACTGCATGGTGTTCTGACATTGAAAAGTAGCTTTGGTGGCTTTATCTATAAGGAAATCACTTTTCGGAGAGGTCACATGGATAACCACACAAAGATGAGAACCATGTGAATGGCATACGCAAAAATTACCAGCATGTGAGGTAGTTAGATATGGGGAACAGTGCCTCACAGGGGAAGCTATTATGATTTACTACTACTGGGTAAAACCATCATTAATCTCACTGCAGAAACTGATATTCTGTTTCAGGCATCACTGGATATAACTGGCAAGACTGCACTTAATCAGTGCCTATCTGCACTAATCACCATTGAGCCATCCACAAATGTCCTAAGTTCCAGACTACTCAAGCACTGTAAAGTCAATCATTTTAACTGATATATTTACCAATTTGGCTGATAGTCTTTAAATCTCTCAATGTTGCTAAAGACGCTGGAACTCTACCCTGTCAAAAGGGAGAAATCCTGGTTAGTGCCCTGGCATCCAGCTGAGACACGATAAAGATGATACCTTCGGAGCAAAAACAATGCCCTAGAATAAGGCCTATTCTAGACCATTCGAGTTAGAAGGATTTGGGAAACATCTTGGGCTTTCCACAAAATAAAACATAAAACTGAACATAAACAAGATAAGGATGATCATTCAGCAACTGTAAGGCTTGCTTTAAAAAAAATATTTCTGGTTTTCAGTCTGGCATATAAGGACTTTAGAAGTTGCCGCTCTGTTCTAAAAAATAAAAAGCTAAACAAACTGAAAAATTAACAATTATTTTTAGATCCATCAGAGAAATGAGGACACAGACCAAACCACTGCTGCAAAACTGCAGAAACAGATAGGCAGATACAGAGAAGCACAACTCACCACAAGAGAAATTACTACCAGAAACCTCAGCAGGAACTAGGGCTGGAATAGGAAAACCTGAACTGTATTTGCCAAAATATTGGAGGCACAGCGTGGATAAGTCTAACAATTAAAAATTCCAGGGGGACCTAGTTATAAGATAACACTCATGCTTTTGTGAGTTTATCTACAGGAACTCTTCCAGGTCCTCAGAAGAATATTGGAGAGACATCACCTCATGCATACAGCAATGAGAGGAGAACAGTACCATTTTGAAATATGCCAGAGCATTCTAATATTCTTAACAAGGCCTGTTCTCAGGAGGAGCTGTTTTACCAGAGCCTAACCTGTGGGAGTTTTGTCAGAGCCTAACCTTCCTAGGAGAAGAGAAAGATTGAATTCCAGCCAGCTCTAATCTTCCATATAAGGAAAGAGATATACCAAACTCCAGCCCCCTCTAGCCAGCCTTGTTCACCTAAGCGTAGGGGAAAGATAGAAGCACTGATGAAGGTAGTCCAGTGGCATAAACTTGCCAA